TACCCATTTCCCACATAGACAAGTTCTGTGATAAGTATTGATATATCTGCTTGTTACATCTGAAGGTCTAATTAGTAGAAAAATACTGCCTCTTGCCTTTATAGAGACCAACACACTTTTTAATCAGCAAACATAGCATTAATATTTAAAAAATAGTTCTGTGTTAGATGTATTTCAAATTAGAAAAACAGATTTTAACATTAACAAGATACCATGTTGATACAGGGTCTTGGAAATCATTTTATTTTTTCTTAAGAAGTTTTGTCCTGCTATGTATAAATGAAATAAAATTAGTCACAGTATGGGGGTTTTACAATGTAAAAAGGGATAAGTGATATTTTGTGAATCTATAAATTAAGCTCACGGAATTAGTGGACAGTACTTAACACACTAATAATCCAGCATCTAAAAAATGCAGTAAAAACTCTATCAAGTAGATAATAAAGTTTCCAGAAATGGCAAGAACTGACATATCACATTTAAGAGCATCACAAAAACAAACAAAATAAAAAACCCTACAACACAGAAAGAATAACATATCTGTAAGATATATCTATAAACCTTCCCAAGAAAGCCCTGGGGAAATAGTTAGTGATCACTAAAATGAGAGAAGTGAGAGCTTCCTATGACCTTAGGATGGTGCATTCTGATATACACACACACACGCACACACTGAGCCTAAGAAAATAGAGCTTAACGTGAAATTGGCTTTAACTCCAACATTAATGATTACTCTCAATTAGAGGAAATGTAAACCTATCTCAGTAATATTTTACTGTAACATTATAACATTTCATTAAATAATTGGAAGAGTTTATAAAGTTTTCCAAAAGAGAATGAGACACACAGATACACAGACACAGACACAGACACAGACACAGACACACACACACACACACACACACACACACACACTGATTTCTGGGCCTAGGCCTTTATGGATATATGCTATTCCAATAGTCAAATGGCAAGAATTTAGAACACTGAGGCAAAGCCATAAAATATTTGCAATTGAGAAAATATTTTTAGCTATAGTTGTTACTTGGGGTCACAACTTAAAATGCATATCCACAAATTGGATTATTAATGCGCCTACATTTTACCACGTTTCAAGACTGTCAACACTAGTTATCAGTTAACTCAAAATATTGGTAAAAGTCACTGAGAAATCTGGAAGACCACGCCAGATGCTTGGGGATAATCTGTGTGTGATTAAACTTTGAAACATTAACATGTCTGATGTTTCAGAATCAGCCCCATCTGTTGCCACCCATTTAAAGAAAAGGAAGGAAAAAGACATCATAGGGCCAAGACATCAATATAACTGGGGGGAAAAAAGGATTTCAATGAGCATTACTTTTCGGCTATTTGCATCTAATTTTTCATCTTTAATATAATTATTTAAGAAAGAAGTAATTTCAAATTGTTCTATTCCATTTTAGAATGCTCTTTAGCTTTTCAAGAAACCTTGTAGAGGTTAAGAACACAAATTCTGGAGCCAGATAGTCTAGACTCAAAATCTGTTTATTTGCAATGGGACCGTAGGCAAGTTACTTAACCTCCTTTGCCTCACTTTCATCATCTATGATAGGGGTCGGCAAAGTTTTTATGTAAAGCCCCAGACAGTAAATAATTTCATGCTCTGTGGGCCACATACTGTATCTGTTGCCTTTTTTTTTTTTTTTAAATGACGCTTTAAAAATGTAAAACCATTATTAGCTCAAGGGCCATACAAAGACAGATTAGTAGTTTGCTGACCCGTGACCTACATAATAGAGATAATAGCGCCTACCTCATAGAGTTATGATGATAGTTTTTTGAATTTTATTTATTTTTTTATACAGCAGGTTCTTATTAGTTATCCATTTTATACATATTATGTTATGATTAAATGAATATACATATATAAAATGCCTAGAATGTACCTGGCACACAGTAAAAACCACAAAAATGTTTATTATTACTACTATATTTCTAACCAAATTTTATTTTCAAAGTACGTCCTATTCCTCTATGACTTCTAGCATTACTTGGTGACTTGAAATTTGGTGAAGAATTAAATTTGTCCTTTTTGGTTTATTCTAAATCACCAGAGAAAAGCTTAATACTATATGTTCATGAAGCTGCCAAGTGTGGCATTAAAATCGAATGATCAGAGGGAAGAATCAGTAATGGTCCTGAGGCAGTTCCTTGTAAACCCCAGAAGGAACATCCTTAATGAGAAAGATTCACAATAAAAATGTAATAAATAAGTTACTTGAAACATTTAATTAAACACAATAACCATTTCTCAAAGTATTTCCTTCCAGTCACAGAAATGAACAAACCTATTTTAACATCCATTTAAGTGAGCATTTAATATTGGTTTTATTTATTTTTTAACTAAGAAGCAAGAAGGAAAAATCAGAAAGCCAATCAGTTAAAATGCGACAGTACTTTAATGTACCAGAGCTACATGCAGGATGTATTTGCCTTAAGTTTTCTCTAGAGTAACTACATATATTTATGGAAATCCCAATACGGTGGGAAAAAAATAACTTAAGTAATCAGAAGGCAATTCATAATTTTCAGCAGACAACCTATAAATGAAAAATATATACAACTCAGCTCTTTTTGATTTATAAGGCACAGGCTGAATAGGGCCACATTATAAATATTTAAATGCAAAACATACAATAGGCTAACTTTTGAATGTTTTATGAGGTGTCACATTGAAACGTGGAGCTTAATGAATTAAATTTTGTTAACACAGTAATGTCTAAACATAAAAAAGCACTTGCTTGAGCTTTAATGCAATAAATTTTAATTGCATAATATGTTAAATACAAATGCAATAACCTCAGTGTATGCACACATGGCATGCTGTGACCACTGCAGCCCAACTTGCTTCTACATGATCTTTACATGAAAATGTAGAGTACGAATGGATGTTTATAGACTATAAACTAGATCTGGAGATCATGAAAACAAAGGAAGCATTTAGTACTCTCTTCTACATATTTGCATAGGTGTAAATTACTGTAGTTTGTGGAATACTAATTTAGAATCAACAAATCAACATAATTTCAAGAATTATTTTTATCATAGTCATTCTTGCCCAGAGTTTAAATTTTGAAGTGTTAATAGACTTAAAACAAGCAAAAAGAAAAAAACAGTAGTCCCTTGTCCCTGACCTCCAGCACCCCAATCCCTGGTCTCCCACCCCAGCGAGAGATTTTTCCCATCCTTTCAGCTATTCTTATGGCAGATATCTCTATATTTCTAAAATCAGTAATACTCTTAGCTCTTGAATCATCCATTTTAAACAGACTGTTTGGTTCTGAATCCCAGCACCACCATTTACTAGCTCTGTGACCATAAACAACCTTTTTTAGGCCTCAGTTTCCTTGTCTATAAAACAAACACTAGAATCTACTACATAAGGCTATTATGAGGATTATATGATGCAAAATCCCATACATGTAATAATATCTTGCTCAAAATATAGTGATAGCTTTTATTATTGTTATTGTTACCTTACGGTAGATGAGGATTTGAATTCTCTTAAAACTCACCCCTTTCTCCATCCTCCTAAAATAGTTATAGCATATTAGGGTTTTTTTGTTGAATTACAGTGCTTTCATCTTCATGTCTTTTTTATATTTGAGGCAGCTCTAGGTTAATGAGACTCACTTTGTATCTTCATCAAAACAATTTACGAGACGCTGGCAAGCTAGCTAAAATGCTGGACCACTGGAATATTCTGGATGACTTTCAATGTGCCAAATTCGAAATCACTGGGATTTCTGGACTAAGAGAAACTGAATTACAGAACTTTTACTGAAGTTTTAAAATTATTTTCTTCAAATCTCTGTGAAACATACCACTACTGTAGTTATCATAATACATCTCTATTACTCACTTACCTTTTGTCTTCTGTTTTTATCATTTTCACAGCTAAGGATATCTATGATGTTACACATTATATATTACAGTTTTTCTTTATATGTAATATTTTTCAGGATTTACACCATTGCTCTATCCACTGTTTCCCAGTGACTAATTAAAAATGAAAGCTTCTATTTAGAGTTTACAATTATAAGCAGTCTCTAAGTTGTGAGAAGTAACACAATTTGCATACAGTAGATGGCAGAGATGTTTAAAATTCTAAAAACCATTTTTGTAGCAGTTTATGCCCAGGAAAAACACAGTTGGTGAGTCAAAGTCTATTTTAACAAAGTACTGCAGTAAACTGGAGACATTTTAAAGGAAGAAAGAATAAGTCAGTTGTAATAATTATGAAGAATCACATTAATTCATTTTTATACCTCTTAATCTTAAAATGCAATGTTTTCAGTCAGCCAATGAAATAAAATTAGATACTCTGTATGAAAAGATTCTCAAATTCTCCCTCATTAAATTTTAAGTTCTCTGACAATAAGGAATATGTTTTGTTTACCTTGTATCACCATTGCCTAGGACAATGCCAAACTAGTATAGGTACAGAGATGTTTCATTTATTTATTCAGTGTTTTATTCACTGAATAAATAAATTCAGCTTAACTTGGTCTCAGGTAATTTACAAATGTTTGACAGTAAAACACCAAACACCATATTAACACAGTATTATAAAGCACACTAGTTTGTATATTACATTTTATGTTTTATTGATGGTGACATACAGCAAAACTTTAATATATATTAATTACCCATGGTCCCTTATAAATATTTAAAAGTTCTTTTTCACAAGCATAATCATACTACAAAGTCATACCATAAGCTAAGTTTTTTAGAAGACAATTAAAAAAATAAAATGCATTAAAGATATCATAAATCAAGATGAGATACTAAGATAACTCTGACTTTACACATTCTAATTACAATCAAATGTAGACCTTTCAAGAAGTTGATAATTCTGGGGAGGGAGCCCTTCAGGAAACATTTAGTTTTTATATAATTAATGGCCAGATTAGCATACCTGAAGTCTTATGTTCTTAAAAACCTCATTCAGAGTCCATAAATGCAAGCAGAAGGTTATCAAGTATTCTTAGATGTAAAAACTTTCAAAAAATTTAAAGTATTCAGTTTGCCTTAATATATATTCCTTGAATTGAAAATTGTTGAGGTTTCCAAATACTATCTTTTCATGTCTTCACAGCCTGGATCTGATCTGATAATAAAAACCAAATAAAAAATTATCAGTCTCTACAGGGCAAAACCCATTCTCTAAAGTAATCCAAGACATATCCATAAGAACATGGTAGAAACCTATGTGTAGGCTTTTTTCTTTTTAAAAGCACAATTCACACTATAGTTTGTATTTGTGTCATTGTACATATGCACCTAATTAAAATCAACTAGTTCTACAAGGCTTGTATTAAAAAAAGCAGATCCTTGCCTCATCCCCTCTTTCCCCTTTCGCAGGCAACTACTTTCAACTCCCTTTTAGGTGATTACCTGTGTATCCCTAAATAATATGCTTTTATTATTACTTCTTGAAATATCAGTTCCTTCAATGTAATAAGGGGCTTCGGTTCTCACACACTTGTACACTGTTCTTCTGCCATGCTCATCATGTGACCAATACTCCCATTTTCCTAACACAGTGATGTAGTCATCAATAGGATGACTATATGAATGCTATTCACAGCTGAAACGAGTGATATACCCCAGTTACTTTTCCTTTCTTCTACTACATTTTGTTTTTCCCTGCAGTTATTAATTGTTCTGCAGCCCCAACCCTGCTTTAGCTTTTCTTTTTTTTAAATGTACTTAACATTAATTCAATCCCACTACTCTCACCCTGTTCCAACCTTTACTATTATGAAGCATAATACACAGTCAACCAATTTCACTTTCTTGAAGAACTCTCCCTTAGTCTTGTGCAAAACTATTTAATCTGAACCAGTTGTTCTCCATGTTTGCCCAGTTATTTTCATATGAGATCTTTCATTATCACTCTAGGATCTCCACTATCATCCTAGGGATTCCTTCCCAACTCTCTTGTGCAGATTTTCCTATTTCCCTTATTTTTTTTTTCTTGTTGGTTTATTCTTTTGTTTTTGATCAGTACACCTCAGTGGCTACCTTAGTAAATGGTATAGAAAGTGAACTCTTCAGACTTTACATGGCTGAAGATGTCTTAATTATACAGTTGTAATACACTGATACTGCCGGCAAACATTATTTTCTCCTTAGATTCTTCCAGGCATTGCTTCCAAGTGTTGCTGGTGAGAAGTCTGTTGCTACTTTGTTTCCTTATCCTCTAGATGAAACCTCTTATTTTCTTCTCAGGAAACTTGTAGAATCTTCCTCTGTCTTACAGTGTCAATTTTAATAATGATGCACCTTGGTGTGGGAATATTTTCATCCACTGCATTGGGCTCTCAAGGAGCCTTGCAACTAAAAACTCATCATTTAGTTCTGGAAAATACTGTTTGATGATTTATTTGATGACTTTCTCCCCTCTCTTTTCTCTGTTCTCTCTTTTAGAACTTATTAGGTTATTGAGTCTCCTAAAATGACTCCTTACTTTATCTTTTCTTTCCATTCTTTGTCTTTTTTGCACCTTCTGAGAGATTGTCTCTTTTTTATCTTCCTTTTATTGAGTTTTCCATTTCTACTATTCTATTATTATTTTCTAAGAACTCATTTTTTTTGTTCTTTGTTCTTTTTCAAGTAGTATTCTTGTCATATTCATGAAAGTAATACATTCTCTCTTATCTCTTTGAAGCTACTCTAATAGTTTTTTGAAATGTTCTCCCTAAATAGTCTTCTTCTAATCTGCTTTTTTTGTTTATGTTCCATAATTCTAATGTTTTGATCTTCAAATACTTGGTGATCTTTTGCTATCTTCTCATATGTATGGGTGAACACTATAAAGCTGATTGGAATTTTGTTACATGTGTGAGGCTTGTCAAAAGTGATCTTCAGTCTAGTGTATCTAGCTAAGAAATTCCTTGAGAATTTCTGATGTTAATACCTTTAGGTCTTTTCTCTTAGCCTGGTCTGACTCCTCAAAGTTGACCTGCTATCTCCTACCTATTGCCAGTGTCTTCTAGGAGAAATAGGAGAAGGCAGAAGACGGTTATAACCTTCAGTATGAAACTTTCAGTTACTCCTCATTTTCAGGTCAGCATGCCAACATACAGTTGTGCTTGGTGTTCTCCAGTCCAGGGATACTATTTGACTCTCTGCAAAGAATGAAACTTCAATCTTCTTTTGGGGCAAGGATGTATAACTGTCTTCCCCTTTCTGTCTCACTTCATCCTTATTTCCAATTTCCATCAATTTCTGAGCCTTTGAGGGGATCTGCAATGTAAATTAGGATGCTTTCCAGCTTTCTCCAGTGCTAGCTTAGAATTCTGCTTTCTCAGGTCTGTTAAGTTATTCAACATTCATCAGATATTTGGCTTCCAAAATTTGGTTGCCATTTTTGTCACTCCCATTCTTTTTGGGTTAAATGGCTTTAAACAAAAGTCTCTTTACTGTCAGTGAGATCTGAAGAGGGGATGAAACTAAGTGTGTGTTCAATCCTGGGTCTTTCATTGGAATACTCATATGCATAGTTTATAAAATTCTTATATTAAAACCTGGAAGCATTATTAACTTTTCACATACAGATAAAGTGATACAATGAATAAGTTTCATTAGTCACGTGAGAGGATTTCATTTTATAAATATCTCTCTTTACCTCTGCAATGGTTTCTGTATATTCTCTGGTGGTTTTAAAAAATATTTCATAGTTTACTCATGGGTTCTTGTCTTTGGCTGTAGCGCATAGGTAATTATTGAGAATCCTTCCAAAAGAGAATGGAATCATGGCACAAAATGTGTCATTTAATGTTTTACCCACAATTTTTCAACCGTAAACTTAAAATAATAAGATTAAATTGGTCCAATATGAACCACAGGCCTTCTGCTTTATCATGCTAGGAAATTTCAGAATTTTGCAAGGAAAATGAAGAGATATAAGTTCAGAACATCTTTCACAGATTTATAGAAAAACTTTTGGCTACGAAGTTAACAGTTATAGGCACAGACTAGTCTCCTTTATTTATTGCTACCTATTTTGCAATATAGGTTTCCCCCTCTTTTCAAATCCAGAGAGACAGTTAGGAGCATCAAAAATGTAAACTATTTACTGTTACATAGAAATTATGAACAAAGGATCTCCTACTCAAAACCAAACTGATATACTTTTAAATCTACATACTAAGTTTCCTCCTCTACTAAATAGAGAAGTTAGGTAAAAGGGTAAATTTAACATTTTTTGAGTGCTTTCTTATGGTAGGCACTTTAACATCTGTATGGCAATTTTTGAAATTTTATTTTTTAATTTTACAGATGAAGAAAATTATTTTTATAAGATAATTAGAGACATTAGTTAATAATTAATAAGTAGTGGAATAAATCTGCTAGACTTGAAAGCCCAAGTGCTTTTTACTACTACTCCACGCTGCCCACATAAAATGGGGATACTACTACTTACTTTGCAGAGAATTGTTGTAAAGGTTACATAAAATAATATGGTAACACAAGGGCACAAAAATTTTTCCTATAAAGTATCCTTCTTACAAAGACTTGGGAGGTAAGATGCAAAGATAATGGATCAGAAAAGTCAAAGAGACAAAAATTAGGTAAGACCAGAGTTGGCAAGTGGCACTGTGATGTTGGATCGTTACTGACACCTAGTGGCCTCATTGTTACAGAAAAAAATAACCGCACCACCACCACCACCCCCACACCCCCGGGCCAAAAAAAAAAAAAAAAAAAAAAAAATTAGGTAAGACCAGAGTTGGCAAGTGGCACTGTGATGTTGGATCGTTACTGACACCTAGTGGCCTCATTGTTACAGAAAAAAATAACCGCACCACCCCCCCCCCCCCCCCCCCCCCGGGCCAAAAAAAAAAAAAAAAAAAAAGAGATCTACAATTTAACATTCAGATGACCATCAACCTATTTTCAGTAAGCTACTGTGCTTTGAATTCCTATATTATGAGCAATTGTGGTGTTTCCATCCATGCTATATCTCCACTGTGAACAATAATAAGCACTTGTAAAATAAGAAGTAAAGGCTAAAAATATGCTTCTAGTGTCTTCTCTGTAATGTTCCTAATGTCCTCTGTAACCTATCTGTTTTATGTGGGAATCAGCCCCAGAGTGGTCACTTTGACCACTTCTTTGCACAGTCTAGGAAATGAAGTTGGTGTGTTCACAGAAAAATCCCACTAGTTTTTCTGAGAACTACTAGACGTTCTCAGTTAAGTTTCACTTAATTGTAAAATATAACTAGAAGGTTCTTTGCAGTTTAATGGTAAATGTCATGATGACAACACGAAAGAGAAAAAAATACAATGGTCTGTGCAGTTACCTAAAACACCACATTTTACTAATAACACATAGAAATATTTATCAGATGTACATTTAGTACTTTGAACCAAAGAAATACTATGTCTCTTTATGTATGGACAAGCAGGCTACTCTTAGATCCACTATGACATACAGAAGAGAAAAAAAACACACAAATAACTGGAATTAAAAGGGTTGTGTAGAAGAAATTAAATTTATAGCCACAAGACTACGGCTAGAATTTATAATCTCTTTGTTATTTCACCCTTGTTCAGGGCAGGGAGATTCCTAATAGAAATCATCCTCAATGGTCTTGCTCAAAAATGGAAATTTTTTGGCCTGATCTTCAAGGGTCCTGTAATAAGAAGGACCTATAGAACTTGGTTTCATTCACATTCATATTTTGTTTTTCTCTGTGGGTCACTGTGCTTCAATCCATTCCTGTGTCTAGTAGACAATGTAACCTTAGGAAAAATGATATATCTTAACTTATGATACCTATTGTGATGAATAACAAATGGAGCTGTGATTACAAAACATTAATAGAATACCAGCATATATAATACTAAATATGAGTATTAAAAGTTGTAAAAACACGCCATGAATAAATGGAGCTACATATGGTGTACAGCATGATTCTTGAACGATACATGCCATGAAGATTTATTTCTAGTTATTGACAGTAAGGTCTAAAATTTGTCCCAAACTTCAAATGTGCTTCTATTACTAGATCTGACAGAAATTTGTTGCCATAAATTAAAATTATTTTCTAGAGATGTCATGCATGTTGATGTAAGCACTTTATTTAAATAAATCCTTTACAAAAATGTAATTGAAGTAAATGGAGCAAAGTATTGGATACTTACTGTATTGTTTTTTCTGATAGCAGAAATAAATGGAAACAAGAGGAAGAAAGGCAGTGATATAATAAAAATAAAATGTAAAGAAGGAAAGAAAACATGAATGGAAGGGAAATAAAGGCTGAAGATGCACAGTATTTTGTGATGTACCTTGAAGCCAGTCTACACCTTCTTGCAATCCTTCTCCTTTTATGGCATCACTAGCACTGCAATAAAATCCGTAAAAAAAATCCATTTCATTACATCATAAAACTACAAGAATAAATACTTACAATTTTGCCATATAGCGAATTAATATATTCTACTAACATATCTAAGCAAAACTGGCTAAGCACTGAAACTGAATATATATATAGGTTATAAAAGTCTAAGTGTTCAGGAGCAAGACATGAGAAAATCATTCATAATTTATATGGACATTCGGAAAAGTGTATCACTAAAAAGTTACTATTCTAGGAATATTACTCAGACTGGCATTAATGAAACATACACTTTGAGTTATTGTCCCAGTAGCGGAAAAGCGTTATAGAATACACCATCCTACCAGCCCCAATGATTCAACAGCATTTATTTATTAGAAATGCTATACTTCAGGTGTAATTTAGCCATAGGATGGAGTGACTTTATTTGACATGAAGTTTGATATCTAAAAGGCATAAACCTGTAATTGTAACCTTGGTAAACTGGTAGAATAAAAAAATTCCAGGAGATTTCAACCATAGTTTTTTATTTATTGGCTTCAATAACCTGGATAGGTTGTTTACTCTTCTGCCTTCAGTTTCTGCCTCTGTAAACTGGGGGAAGATCACCATTGGCCTCAGGTGATTATTGTAAGAATTAAATATTTGAGATATGGATATAAAACACTGAACACAGGGTCTTTTCATTGTCTTTCCATTCTTGAGAGTAAACCTAAATCTTTACTGTGACATTATTTTATAAATAATAAAAACTTATATAAACTAAAATAATAAAATGCAGAAGATTTTTAGGGTATCAAATAATCCTTTTCAAAGACACAGACTAATAGCTTCTCATAACATGTTACTGATATAGTTATTTCCTTTCAAAATATAATCGTATAATAATAATTAGTATACGTAATTAGATTTTCTGAATGATTAGGGTTCCTTTTAGTGTGCTGAAGCATGATTTTAAAATGTACTCAATTACCTTAAAGCTGTTAATTGGACTCTAATCAAAACAGAAATTACTTCCAAGGACTTACTTGTTAGACTAAGAATATGACTTATCATAACATTATTTTAAAATAGGAAGACAAACAGCATAAGATACACAATTATTCAAAGCAAACTATGGATTACCTATATTAATGGCAAAACATTGGTAACTGAAATACTTATATCAAGTAAGATCAATGTATTGATTTTATCACAAACTTCTAGTCCCAAACAAGAGTACAGTACCATGAAGAAATCCTTCCCCTTTGGTGGAGGTGTCACTACCCTACTAAAAACCCTGCATCTTTTCCTAATAATTCCCAAATGTTTAAATTCTACCTTTCCTTTCAAATAAATCGTAAGACTTGTACTTGGAATAAAAGCCAAAGTCTTTACCATTTCCTACAAGGCCCTATGTGACATGGCCCCTGGTTATTTCTCAGTGGCCTCATCTACAATTTCCCCCTAGATCTCTGTTCCAGCCAGCATGGACTTCTTGCTGTTCCTAGAAAACACCGGGCACATTCTCATCCAAGAGGCTTTTCACTTGCTGGCCTCTCTATCTGGAAAGTTATTCCTCTAAACCTTTGTGTGAACTGCTCCCTGACTTCAATTAGATCTCAGAGAGGGACCACATCCATTATTCTTTCTCTTACTATTCTACTTCATTTTTTTTCATCCTCCCAACTGACATTTTATACATCTATTTACCTGTTTTATTATCTGTCTCCCTCACAAGATAGTAAAAAAGCAAATACGTACATATATCACACCAGGGACTTAGTCAAAGAACACACTGGAAGAACAGTAACACAATCAGACCTGAAAATCAGAGTTGACTATACGTTTAGTACACTGGTCAAAAATAAACCAAAAAAATTTTCCTTTAATTTTCCAGACTATATTTCTCTATGAGCTCTTCTTTACTGACCAAATTTACCTGTACCTAAGACAAGAGAGATGCAATATTTTATCTCTGCATCACTGAGTGCTACTTTCTTTCTCTAAAATTAATGGATAAATGTATTTTTAATTTCATACATGCTTTAAAAACATTGCAAAAGATAAAAACAAACTTAACAAGTGAAACACTAATTGGAACTTAGTGAGATGTCCAGTTTGAATTAAGGAGAAGTCAAAATTTTAGATAACTTCAAAAGAAAATCTTGGTATTCTTCTATAAGTGGTGTAATATAGAAACTGGCAATATAAGTCCATATCCTTTTAGCATCAGGTATTACTTTTTTCTCTCACTAAAAAATATTCAGATGTCACAATAAATCTGTTAAAATTCAATTGCTAATTATTTTAAGTAGAAAGAGATTTTTCCATTTGTAAAATTAATTTCTACTTTGAAATTAAGAGGACTACATCTTTTACTAATTAGACCCATGTTTTGAATGTTGTATTTTCTATCAAAGCAATCACAACACTTAATGCAAAAATTAAAAATTATTCTACTTCAGATGTTATCAATTTAAGTATGATATACAAAAATACAAAGGTTCTATCTCAAGATATTTCTCTACCCCAAGTCCCTCCTTTCTTCACCAACCAAATACCACAAAACCTCAAATTCCAACTCAAGAATCATTTCGTAAACACTGACTTTTCTCTGATTTCCAAAGTAAGGAGGGTTTTACTTGAGATATGAAGCCTTGGGTACAGAAAAGTTTCAAGGGCTCTCTCAAGCTCTTCTCTTTTCAGCACCAAGGTTAGCTCTTAAAGTTCTTCTCTGGGCTCTACCACTTCCTTGTTTTGTGTTCAGCCTTGCTCTATAGATATCTTCTTACAAAAAGGGGAAAAATGGCAAGAGAAGGATATCTTCCAGCACGGAGAGGTAAGCAGGTGGATAGAAGGAAGGTTAATTTAACATAAGGTAGTGGTAGGCTTTAAAATACTAATATATAACTTCTGGTTATCCTTGTTAGAATATTTTGGTAGAAAGGCACACTGGAGTTAAATATATTAGTAAGAAACTGCTTTCCAAATAAACAATGTATAATAATTTCAGACACTAATTATTTAAGAGTTCAACCTTATTAGTATGTCCAAATAAGATTAATTTTTCCATTTCTATTTATTCATATCAACAAATACTTATTGTGTATCTACTAAGTAGCAGGTACCATTACTATTCTGGGGGTTACAGAGTAAACAAAATCAATGAAATCCCAGCTCTCATGGTACAAATGCACTAGTGTAGGAAGACAGACTACAAAACAAAAAATAAAAGAAGAAGGGATCATATGGAAATACAAAAGTAAAGCAAAGTAAGGAAAAAACAAGAGACAGGGGTAAGGTATAGTGACGTTTCAGAGTTATTAAGAGAGGTCTCTTTCCTGAAGGAAGTGCAATAACAAGCAGGAAAATTATTTTAAAGAATGATTCCAACAAAGGGAGTAACAAGTACAAACACCTTGAGGTGGGACTGTGGTTGGCTGATTCAATGTGCAGAAGGAAATCAGTGTGGCTGAACTTGGGTGAGTAAGTGGGTTGTTCAAGTTGTTCTTTTAAAAAAGAGTTGTTTTTATTTGTCTATCCCTGAAAAGATTTGAAAAGGTTTTAACAGTAATATATTAATGAATACCTGCAAGCCACGATTCTATAAAACAAAACCTTTCCCTTACATCCTACCACTTATAAAGTGAGCTTGGAAAAAACCCTTAAAGTTTGGAGACTTTTTTCAAAATGATAAAATGAAAAGTAAATATAAAACTTTACCAAATATGCCATGGTTTATCTTTGATGTTCTCTAAACACAGCAATTGAGACACTTTTACAGATGTCACTGCATCTCTAAGATCCATTTTGTTCGCAAAGAATAAAATTGGTATTCGGCGGTGCTTAATATCTAAAAGAGAAAATAAGACTATCATCACATCTCCAGCTTTTTGGGTTATTTTCTCCCAAATCCTTAAAACTGTAATCCAATGAAATTGTTTTCCAATCACTTCTTCCCATATCACACATACATAAACATTTAAAGACATATACTGTGAAGCATGTATCTGAGTGACAGGAGAATTTTAAAAATACCTCTTCATAAGATTATCTGCCCTCTGGTTGGAACTGTAAACTAAAGATGGATGAGGTGGGAGTGGGGAGCTCATTAAACAGTTACTGAACAGCACCTAGAAAAGGGTCAAACATTTTGGGTTTCATTTTTACTGTCAACAAAAAAAGAGGTCAACTTCAAACAGAAGTAGGAGTATAAAATGGATCCTGGTTTTATATTTTAGTTGCAGCATTATAAGTAACCTAGATACTTTAACAAGATGTTTTTACCTTGTTACAATTTTGGGAGCATTTTTTTTTTACTTTTGAATACATAATACATTTAAATAGTTCAAAATTCAGAAGAGACAAAATTGTATGCAGCAAAAGAATCTCCTCCCTCCCACCTCTGTCCTAGTCCATACACCTGTCCTCCCTACAAGAGGCAACCCATATCATCATCTGTTTCTTGGCATCCTGGCATCTTTTTATGAATATTTTACATATTTGAAAACAATTATTATATATTATTCTTACAGCAGACTATTCTCATTATTTTACACCTTTTGCTTTTCACTTAATTTCATAGCTTGGAGATTGTCCCATATCAGTACATACAGAAGAAAGTTTCATCATTATTTTAACAGTTGTGAATGTCCTGTCTTTCAGTACTACGTACCATAATTTATGTATCTAGTACCCAACTGAGATATATTCGTGCTGTTGCCAATATTTACAACTATAAGCAATGTTATAATGAATAAACTTGTACATACAAAAATTTGTACAGGGGCCAGAACATCTATAGGATAAATCTGAGAAGTGGAGTTGCTGGGTCAAAGGATATGTAAATTTCTAATTTAAAAATTCTCCCATAGTTTCTTCCACTGCTGTAATAGTGTAATTTTTATATGTAAATATTTAGTCCAGCTGGAATTTATCCTGGAGCAGAGAATTTCAGAGTAGATAAAAAAGTAAGATATGAAGTTTACAAGAAGTACACTTTGAACATAAGGACACAAACAAGTTGAAAGTAAAAGGCTTGCAAAACATATTAGGTGTATGCTTAGGTGCAAGAAAGCTGGCATGGCTACACCAACATCAGACAAAGTAGTATTCAAGACAAAGGGTATTAGCAAAGAAAAAGAAAGGCATTTAAAAATTATAAAAAGGTGAATCAATCAAGAAAACAAAACAATTTTAAGTGTGTATCTAAGAGTCAAGCTTCCAAATACATAAAGCAAAATTTGAGAGTATTAAAGGGAAAATCAAATAAATTCACAATCATAGCGGACACTTCAACACCCCTCTTTTAGAAATTGATAGACAAGTAGACAAAAAGAAAATCAATAAGATTGTGGGAGATGTGTGATTGTTTTCCACAGGACTGAATGAGGAAGCAACTTTGGGTGGCGTCTGACATCTGATGCCTGGCTGTGCTGCTGCTTGTCCCAGATGATTATCTTAAACCGCAGCACAGAGCCTTCATTTCCCGGACTTTACCCAGGCAGTTTATTCTCTACTCTCTCAGGTGCAAAATGGAGTTCACTTCCTCTCATGGGCACACCAAAATCACAACTGTTTGCAGAATAGCCATCAATGAAAAAGACCAGAATATATCGGAAAGGATATTCTACAACTAAATACATAAAGAAGGAATCACAATGTGATGGGTAGGAGGGGTGGAGTAGAGATATAGTCAAATCCCATGCCCCTGGGTAGGCGAGCCACAAATGAGTGAATAATTATAACTGCAGAGGTTCTCCCAAAGGAGGGACAGATCTGAGCCCCGTGCTAGGCACCTGAGCCCAGGGGTCCTGCACTGGGAAGATGAATCCCCAGAGCATTTGTCTTTGGAGGCCAGCAGGGCTCACTTTTCGGAGACCCAGAGAACTGGGGGAAATAGAGACTTCACTCTTAAAGGGTGCACACAAACTCTCATGGGCTTCAGGACTCTGGGCAGAAGCAGTAATTTGATAGGAACCTGGGTCAGACCTACTTGCTGATCTTGGAGAGGTAAAGCTCACCCTGGGGACAAAGACACTGGAGGCAGCCATTTTGGGGAACTCGTTGTACCACGTGGACACTGGTGCCAGTAAGCTCATTTTGGAATCCTTCTCTAGCTTATCCCAGCCTTGCCCTGGCCAGACCCTGCTCTAGGACTGGCTGGGCTCTGGCCCTGCCCACTAGCGGGTGAACACAAGCTTCAAGACACCCTGGGCCCCATACCCAACTGTGTCAGGAACCAGCCCCACCCACCAGCGATTCAACACCTGCTATGGGACCCCTGGGCCCTGCAACCAGAACCCAGGACTTGGCTCTGCCTGCCAGTAGGCCAGCACTAGCTCCAGGACGTGGCTTCAGCCACCAGTGGGCAGGCAACAGCCCCAGGATCTCCTGGACCCTGACTCCGCCCACCAGTAAACCAGCTGTAGCCCTAGGGCCTCTTGAGTTTATGCAGTCAGCTACCTCGAGAGTTGATCCTGCCAACCAGTGGCCATCAGCCTCCACACAAAGCAGGGCCTGGCCACCAATGAACCAGGAGCCAACCAGGCCTACCAAACTACCCACACAGCCCAACACAACAGAAGGACCCATACAGCCTCATAGAGGGGGAACCCCTAGAGCATATAGCTTTGGTGACAAGAGAGGAGTGTACTGTTGAGACATAAGACATCTCTTACAAAAGGCCACTTCTTCAAGGTTGGTGAATATAACCAACCTGTCAGATACACAAAAATAAAAACAGAAAGTCAGGGAAAATGAAGTGACAGAACAACATGTTCCAAACAAAAGAACAAAATAAAACTCCAAAAGAAGAACTAAGTGAAGTGGAGCAAGGAAGTCTACTTGAGAAGGAGCTTAGGGTAGTGATCATAAAGATGATCAAAGAACTCAGGAGAAGAATGGATGCACAGAGAGAGAAATTAGAAGTTTTTAACGAAGGGTTAGAGAATATAAAGAACAACCAGAGATGCAGTATACAATAACTGAAATGAAAAATACACTAGAAGGAATCAACGGTAGACTAAATGATACAGAGAAACAGATCAGTGACCCGGAAGATAGAGTAGTGGAAACCACTGATGTGGAACAGAAAAAAGAAAACAGAATGAAAAAACATGAGAACAGTTTAAGAGACCTCTGTGACAACATCAAGCACATTAATATTTGCATTATGAGGGTACCATTAAAAGAAGAGATAGAGAAAAGGCCTGAGAACATATTTGAAGGCATAATAGCTGAAAAACTTCCCTAATCTGGGAAAGGAAACAGGCATCCAAGTCTAGGAAATACAAAGTTCCATACACGACTAACTCAAAGAGGAGCACACCAAGACATTGTAATGAAAATGGCAAAAATTAAAGATAAAGAGAGAACATTAAAAGCAGCAAGAGACAAGCAATGAGTAACATACAGCAGAAGTCCCATAGGGCTATCAGCTGACTTTTCAGCAGAAACTCTGAAAGCTAGAAAGGAGTGGGAGGATATATTTAAAGTGATAAGGTGAAAGACCTACAACCAAGAATATTCCACCCTGTAAAGTTCTCATTCAGATCTGATGGAGAAATCAAAAGTTTCACAAACAAGCAAAAGCTAAAAGAGTTCAGCACCACCAAAACAGCTTTACAAGAAATATTAAAGGAACTTCCCTAAGTGAACAAGAAAAAGACACAATGAGAAAGATGAAAAGCATGAACGGAAAAAGCTCATCAGTAAAGGCAAATGTATAGCAAAGATAAGAAACCATCTATGCACAAAGGTAGTAGAAGGTTAAAAGACAAAAGCAGTAAAATCATCTATATCCTCAATAAGCAGTTAAGGGATACACAAAACAATTAGATGCAAAATATGACATCAACAACAGTAATCATGAGGGGAGGAGAGTACAAATGCAGGCTTGTTACAATGCATTTGAAAGTAAGCTATCAGCAACTTAAAACAAATATACATATATGCATATACATACATACATATATATACCTCATAACCACAAACCAAAAATCTATAATAGATATACACACAAAAAAAGAAAAGTAGTCTAAATATAACACTAAAGAGAGTCATCAAATCACAAGAGAAGAGAACAAAAGAAGGAACAAAAAAGAGATATGAAAATAACCTAAAACAATGAATAAAATGTCAATAAGAACATATATATATCAATAATTACTTTAAATGCAAATGACTTAAGTGCTCCACTCAAAAGACATAGAATGGCTGAATGGATACAAAAAGAAGACCTGTACATATGCTGCCTACAAGAGACTTACTTCAGATCTAAAGACACACACAGGCTGAAAGTGAGGGAATGGAAAAGATATTCCATATAAAAATGGAAATCAAAAGAAAGTAAGGAAAGCAATATTTATATCAGAAAAAATAGACTTCAAAATGAAGACTGTTATAAGAGACAAAGAAGGACATTACATAATGATCAAGGAATCAATCCAAGGAGATATAACAATTGTAAATATATATGCACCCAACATAGAAGCAATTAAATACATAAAGCAAATATTGACAGATGTAAATATAGAAATTGCCAGTCACACAATAATAGTAGGGGTCTTTAACTGCCCCTTCCATCAATGGACAGATCATTCAGAAAGAAAGTCAATACGGAAACACTAGCCTTAAAAGACACATTAGGGCTTCCCTGGTGGCGCAGTGGTTGAGAGTCCACCTGCTGATGCTGGGGACACGGGTTCATGCCCCAGTCTGGGAAGATCCTACATGCCGTGGAGCGGCTGGGCCCGTGAAAAAAAAAAAAAAAAAAAAAGACACATTAGATCAATGGACTTAATAAATATATACACGACATTCCACCCCAAAGCAGGAGAATACACATTCTTT